TATATATATATATATATGAAATATATATATATATATATTGTGTGTATATATATCTATATATATATGGCTGTGTATATATATATATATACATACATACATATAAATACATACATACATACATACATATATATATATATATATATGTTATATATATATATATATATATATATATAAATGGATATCAAGAGACCTGGATATAAGAAGAAATTTTCAATATAAAGAGATTTTTTCTGGTCCCTAAATTAGAGCCTGTGTTAATTATATAAAATAAAGAAAACCCGGATATAAAGAAACCCGGATATAAATATTAATTTATATAAATCCGGTCCCGACACTTCTTTATATTATGTCTAAACAAATTATATATATATATATATATATATATATATATATATATATATTTATAATTTCATCTATATTTTTATTTTTGTTTAAACTGTATCAGAGCTCATCAGTGTGATAAAACAAAAGGAAGACTTTTTTTTGAAATTTCGTATTTTTGATTGATTTATCGTGGTATATATATATATATATATATTTATATATATATATATATATATATAGGCTCTTCCTTTTGTCAGAGTACCAAACGCGTCGTCTAAATTTTCCTTTTGCCTTTATTCATATTGTCGTTTTATAGCTTTATTGTAGTTATCTCAGAAATGTTTTACATATATACGAGGTTAAGGCACTTTCGCGATGACATAGCTTTAAGACAAGAGTGTGGATAATTTTTTACTTCCTATATATATATATATATATATATATATATATATATATATATATATACATGATACTAAAGGCGTATACTTTTCTCGTCATATTTCTGTTTGGTTTAAATATTCAATCAATATACAATAAATATGTTCTAAATAATAATATTATTATTGCAATTTTCATCTATAGAATTTATTACATCATCTGTTTATATTTACATGTATATATAAATATATATATATATATATATATATATATATATATATATATATATATATATATATATATATATATATATATATATATATATATATATATATATTTTATATATAATAGAATGGATTGTGTGTTTTAAAAATTTATAACGCGTCCAATGTATTTTCCCTGAAAACCAAAATCTCTAAGAAAGAAATCTCCCTCTTAGCGATATAGATAAAAACACACACTACCCTTTTTTTAATATTACAGCATAACTCAAGAGGGAAATATAAATGATTTTAAATTATTAAATTGCGAGTAAAAAGTTACTATATCATTGTTAATAATAATAATTCCAGTGCCCATGGGTTTGATTGGAAAAGATTCTGATAAAATCATTGAAGGGATTCCTTGGCATTCCACGTCATCAAGAAATGCCAAAAAACAATGCCCTTTCAAAGTAAACAGTTCACATAAAACAAAAAACTTTTATCTGTGTAATAAAAAATAAATTTTTTTTGTTTTTTTTTCTAACAAAGATGCAATGAAAAACATCATGAGGCCATTTCTAACCTTAGGTCTGTGGTTTGGACTCGTGAATAAGTGACTATATAACAGAAATCAAAGAAATGAATAATAATAGAAAAAAATCATCAAAACCTCTTATCATATCGCGCACATTTGGCTGTGATGCATGTGCGTGATATACCATTATCAGACAGGGTGTCATGATAGGTTTAGTATGCCGCGTATATTTGTACTCAGCAATAAATTGTCAACGTGTTGTTCAATCACTCAGTAATAATAATAATAATAATAATAATAATAATAATAATAATAATTCTTTTTACAAAAGATCAGTGAAAAATGTCATGAAGCCATTTCTGACCTTAGATCTCTGGTTGGGACCCGGATGGAACTGTATCTGCATCAGAGACCAGACATTGTAAATAAAGACTACAAATGATTTTTTATAAAATTTAAATTGAAAAAAAATGTGTCACCTTAAAACTACTGTAATACCTATAATAATTGGAGCACTGGGTACACTCAAATTGTGTGGAAATTGCGTGAATTCAAATCAAGAGAGTGAAAGCAAATAAGATGTAAACACTGTACATATTAAGTGTCATTTAACATCAGAATTTGTGCAACCACAATAATAATAATAATAATAAAACATATAAATATCATCATATTATTATTTCTTTAGCAAATTATCGGTGCGTATTATGCAGTGGTGCGTATTATATGGTGAGAAAATACGCTATATGCAAAGAGAAATCGACTAAAGGGTATATGCATTTTATTAACAGAATCAAATCCCTTTTGACTTAACCACTTGCCAATCTTTGCTCCCCCCACCCAAGTAACTGGAATCCAATTCTTTGCTGATAAGGAGTAAACATTGTAGTCAACTTCAATAACAGCATTTCTTTTAATTCACTTCAAATGAAAAGAAAGAAAAGATCTCTTAACAAAAAAGATGTCTTCCCAATTTATCAGTGTCAAACATTCTTGCTTTCTCAACATTTTTCAGCGTTTTAAATAAAATAATTTTTTTTTTTTAAATAAACATCGAACAATGTCCTTTGGTGAGTTTATTAAACCATTTCCCTCTTCGAACTGGCAATGGTTGCTATACAAAACAAATAACACACGTATATTCCGCAGGCGATTTGTTAATTTCATGCCAGCCACTAAGCCCCACGTGATATCCGTTATGGCTTACTCTAGAAGGAATGTATTTTGGACCCCTAAAATAAAACGTTATTTGCCTGTAAATATCAAGTAATTTTATTTTAGCCCCCAATACATTCTTCTTTCTGTTTATATATATTCGTGGTTGACCTACGGTTCTGAAGAAGACTTTGTCTTGCAATTCATCGGAGGATACGTAATAAAACACAGTGTGTATATAAATAAACAAGATTTGTTTAGTTAATCTCCAGTTCATAACTAGAGATTCTATTTAAAACATTTATACAAGTACGTAAAACGACAGAATTGATATGAGGATTTCGGGGAAAAGCCTTCTGTTTACACTAACGCCCACTAATCTATATCTGAGGGATCATCTGTCTATATTTCTGAGTTAAGGTATTGTAACTATTTACACTATTTACATTGATCGTCCTGTTGTTCTCGTCTTTATTATCGTCTTCACGACGTTTCGGCCGTTATACGCTCCGGACTTCTTCAGTTGACATACCTTGAAATTTCGAACCGAAGAATGTAAGTTGTGTAAATGGTTGCTCAAGAATCTTAGATAATGTCTTGCACTTTATTTGCAATAAAAAAAAATGGCTTCGAAGAAGCTTGTCTATATTGACTTCGAACATTAAACAATGTATATATATATATTTTTAATTTTAGTAACAATTAAAATATAAATCCAATATATATATATATATATATATATATATATGCATAGATGAGCCGAAAGCTCTCGGAACGAAACTTGTCTATATTGACTTTAAGTTAAACATAATGTTCTTTATGTATTTTTTTTTTGTATTTTAGGAACAATTAGATAATAAATCAATATATATATATATATATATATATATATATATATATATATATATATATATATATTTATTTTTACAAGGGTTTCATACCACCCTGAATCTATGATATGTTCCTCGTATCATAAATTCAGGGCCTCTCTACTCCACTATAACTCGATTATCATAAAATAGTATTCGTATAAAATATAAATATTATTGTAACCTAATTATGTAGAATAATGGATCGTATGCAATTCAGGTGAGCAATTCAACGAGAAAAATTGAAAATAAATACAATGCATCTAAATACACATTAGAAATATGAATCTTAAATCAACAATGTTTGTGGCAATTTTTAACATCAACTTGAGATTGTCCCTGTTAAAAGTTGAAGAATTTTAACATTCAACATTATGGATAAAAAAAAATTAATTAATTAATTAATTTTATTTCGTTATTTTTTTTTTTTTCAAAACATAACATGTGCAAAAGAAACACGAGGTTTTGTAACGCAAAAAAAAGCCCCCACAATGACTTCAAAATCTGCGAAAATTTTTCATCCTTTTAATAATCAGTTGTGTTTAGATTAATTTGTAACATATATAAATGGAGGTAGAAAAAAAGCAAATGTTCCTAGGGTCACAAAGCTCTGCCGGAGGGGTGCCCAATCAGGATTGAACCTCCCGGTTGGGGTGGAGGAGGAGTACGTGGCGACTCTGTGTCAAATATACGCGCGACTAAAAGTTTCACAGTGTTAAAATGTTAGCCTCAATTTCAGTTATAGGACTGCTACATCTTAGCTACAGTTAAAGGATTAATTCATATACATATATTTTTTGAAAAAACTGCTGATAATTATGCACCAACCCAATATATATATATATATATATATATATATATATATATATATATATATATATAATTATTATTATTATTACTTCAAAAGATTATTTTAATGGATACCCGTAATTGTGTAGACGCGCCGTTTTATTTTAAACAGTATTATATTTCGTCTTCCGAGAAAAAGACATTAAAGAAAATGTGCACTACGGCAGGATTCGAACCTGCGCCCCGGCACCTTTTACAGTAGGAGTACACAGGCCCATACAGGAAATAAATACTGTTTAAATTAAACGGGGCGTCTACTCAAGTACGGGTATCCTTTAAAAATCACGTTTGAAGTAATAATATATATATATATATATATATATATATATATATATATAATCATTATTATTACTTTGAAAACCACGTTTGAAGTAATAATAATAATAATAAAAACATTGGTTTAAAACTAATCGATGGTTGCTTTGTTCATTTTTTTTCTTTGAAATATGAATAACAATACAATTGTTTATTAATGGTCTTCTTTTTTAGGCGTATCTCCTCCAGCCACAGAATTCCGTGTACCTGATCCTAGCGTACCAGAAGACCAACTGTTTTCCGAACATCAAAGACCCCTATCCACCTTGAGCGAACCGCCATCACAAAACAAGCCACAGAAAAACCATTTCCTCTACCAGCCCTACCACCAACAGCAACAGCTTTTACAGTGTGCCGAAAACATTGCGATTCCATGTAGTGTTATTAATAAGCAAACTACTACAAAGGGAATTAGTACACATTGCAAAGAACTCCAAGAAGGCTTCGCTGTAGCACACACCGCCAGTCCATCCGTGGTTGACGTCGGCCAAACAGTAGCCAACGCGTTCGTCACAAGCATCACGACAACGACCACTACCACTATCCTAATACCAAGGCCTACTGTTACAAGCTCGGTGCATACGAACCAGACCAGCGAAAAGACAGCCCATGAAAAGGGCTCTTCTATCGGTACCAATAAACAAATTTCATACGCCGTCAGTGGCGGACGGGGCCCCGGTGCGAGCCATCTTATTACAAACGTTGGCACACATATTGCCCTAACGACAACAATTACAACTGCTGCCCTACCTACTCTCCTAACTACGACAACCGCATCCAATATTACGGCCACCCCCTCCCTTATTGACCCCCAGCAACCCGTGGCTCAAGCTAAACCTGCACCACTACCACCACCACCCCCACCACCACCACCACCACCCTCGTCGACAAGTCCGCACTACAAAATCCACCCGTTTGAAACAACGCAACATATAGATTCGTTGTCGGGATCTCAAACCACGTCTACAATCACAGGTGAGTCGTACATCCACAACATTCCTAACCCTGGTTCTGCTGGGGTCTCCGGTGGTGTGGTCATTTGCGACAACAGTGACGGCGGCGGCGGTGGTGGCAGTTGTCGGGGTCGTGGTCATAGTAACGTAGGGGTCGTGACAAGTTGCGTTGGTGAGGGTATCGACGTCAAAAGTAAAGGTAGCGACCCCAGTGTTTGTACAAACAAACTTGAAAGCAGCAGCAGCAGTAGCAGTAGTAGTAGTAATAGTAGTAGTAGTAGTAGTAGTCCCTTGTCCACAGCTCCGTCGTCGTCGTCGTCGTCGTCAGGAGTGTCACAGGCCATAACTCAACATCAGCCCCAACATCAGCATCATCATCATCATAATCATAATCATCTCCAGCCTCCTCATCATCACCATCAACAACAACATTATCTACAGGAACATCATCATCACAAACAACAAGAAGGAACTGTTTCGCGTTTTCCATACCACCAACAACAACAACTGCAGCAACAACAACAACAACAAACGCAGAATCATCATCATCATCATCAACAACAACAACAACAACAACAACAGCAGCAGCAGCAGCAGCAGCAGCCATCGTCTTTAGATCATCTTCATCTTCAACACTTACAAGAACCGCCTCCTCCTCCTCCTCCTCCTCCGCCACCACCGCCTCCCCAGTCTTCTTCCAGACGCCCCCATATCTGTCTCGGCGAGTCGCAAGCAAAGGCACTACCCAGTTCTGCCTCGGTAGTGCCGGCTACCTCAGTGGCCGACTGTTGCTCTCTCAAAGAGGGACTTTCATTCTCAGATAACGTTTCTAGCACTGACAGTTACAAGCTAACTAGGATAGCTTATAAATCGACCGATACGGACCCCCACACTACAATGTTACTCCTGCAGTCCCAGGTAAGTTTGTTTTTTTTTATTGTTATTAAAAGATTTTACAAGAAAAAAAAAAACAACAATAAACATCTAACATAAACAAAGAAAAAATATGTTTACATTACAAAAATTGTTACTTACCTCTGACGAGTTCGTTTGTTATTTTTTCATGGTCATAGAAACGTAGAGGTCAGATTTTTTTTACAATTAGTTAAATTAGTTATAATTCCGACTTTCTTTTGTTGTTACTTGCTTTCGTTCTTTCTTTCATTTTTATTTTATTTTATTTTTATTTTATTTTTTTTTCAATGTTGTATTCTTTTTTGGTTTTTAAAATTTTTTGTTCGTCCTTCGCTTTTAATTTCGTCCTGAAAATTCTTCGGTGTCGCGTTCCATTACATCAATTTGATCTTGTCCAGTTTTTTTTGTTTTTTTTTTGGTTTTAAATTTAATTTATTTATTTTTTTAAAAGACCGAGAAAAAACCATCAACGTACACAAATTTATTAAAATTCAACCTTCCTTATTTGAATGGACATCGTATTTTACTTTAAAGTCTATCTATTGTGAGGAGCGCTGATAAAAAATTGAACAAAATATTTTTATTTACACGGTAAAATTCTTTTGTCTTATTTTTCATGACCATTCATTTATTTATTTAATACTTTCTTGAGGGGGGGGGTATGCATTTATTTTGTTTTGTTTACTTTCATCTTTTTTCCTTTTTTCTTCTCATTCTTTTTCTTTCTTTCTTTCTTTCTTGTCATTTTTTCTTTCTTTCTATCTTCACATGCCGTTACCTCATGCGCCCTTTTCGAGGAAGGCGAGCGCTCCTTCCGTTACGGCGAACACATGCAGAACCACGCCCAAACGCACCCATTTACTAAGTATGATCTGTCCATATACACAAACACACACACACACTCACAAATCTCCATATGTACAATATCGATATATACAAGAGAGAGAGAGAGAGAGAGAGAGACAGAGACAGAGAGAGAAAGTGGCAGGGAAAGAAAGAGAGAT